ACCACTGCATTCTTAAAGTGTCTGGATACAAAGGCAGCCCCATATATTCCAATATGGAGGTAACCAGGTCATGAATGAGTGTAACCAGGCCCTTCTTTACGTGACAAGAAAGGGCATTCCTACCACTACAAAATGGTTCCTTCACTAGATATTCCCAGCAAGAATAAAACCTGTTTTGGTAATTCTCTTCACCCCAGTTGTTCCCTTTGCTGGCACCAAATACTAAAATTATTATTTCATTGCTTCCTACTAACGTATTACTTAATATTATTTAATACCAAGGCAACATTTTAAAAAATGAAGCCGTTATATATGGTTTTGAGAATTAATAGATTATAGAGAAATGTAAAGAATACTGTAACCATAGAGTAAAAAGGTATTTTGTGTTTATCCTTATAACTGCTGCACAAGAAAATAAAAAAATAATTTCGTTGCAATTATTTTTTTCTTTGTTTTAATTTTGCCTTTGCTCTTTTTCTTTCTTTTTTTTTCATTTCTAAATATTAGCTCTTCTTAGGTTTTATTCTGTGTTTACAATTTTAATAAAATTTTATTTTTTTAAAAAAGAAATTACTAAGGCACTGGTAAGATCTAAACCACAAAAATGGTATAGCGTTGGTGGGCAACTGGGAATTAATATTGTAATTCAGGGAAGGAAGCTGTTTACAACCCATCAATTAATTTTGAACATTCAGAAAGATAATATATAGATTTACACCCATTCCTGCCTCAAATACTTTGTACTTTTTTATCTGCATATTTTCCTGTGTAATCTTCCTTTGGCCTCCCTCCCTCCTTCCATTTTTATTTAACACATTTGAATGTGACTATGGGTAGCTTATAAAAATTTTAAAAATCTGCCATACAATAAAACCCTATAAAACCTTCCCCAGCCCATCCCCCATGGCAGCAACTACACAATCAAATCAGTCACTTGATAGGATCCATTCTCAACCCCATCCAAGTTCCCTCAAACCATCCGCCGATAATCACTGTGCATTTACATTCTCTACATTCCTGTTGATATAAAAATCTCCACAAGAATCTTCTGTCACTAGCAGATTTCTGTCACTGAAACTGTAGAAAATTCTACAATTTCAAGAGCTTTGGGCAGAGGATAAATGCCTGTCAATAGTGTATGTATGTATGTATGTATGTATGTATGTATGTATGTATGTATGTATGT